GGCGGGCAGGGGTCCGGCGGGCCGGATTCCCCGAGCGGAGCGGAACGGAACGGGGCACGACCTGACTGTGCCCCCGGCTAGAACAGTCCCAGACCTTGACGCCCCAGTGGCCGAGGGTCTCCAAAGCTGGACCCACTTCCTGCACCCCAGGGCTCATCCCGGTCATGAGTGGGGGCTGCTGCTGGGACTACCAAGGGGACGCCAGCTCTGGGATGCTTTTCCGGACTCTGGAGTACCCACGGCAGAGCGGCGGGCGGGGTCCCTGGGGGAGCCTCGGCTCCTCCTGGCCCCTTCCCTGCCAGCCGCAGGGCCCCAGCCCTGCCCAGCCTGCCCTGACCCCTCACCTCCGCCCCTGTAAGCAGTTCCCAGAAGGCAGGATGGGAGGGGGGGCAGGATGGAGGCGGGGGGGGGAGCAGGATGGGGGGAGCGGGGCGGGGGGGCACCGCCTCATCTTCCCAGCAGGGTCTGGGTCAGCCCTGGGTGTCACCGTCCCCCAGGACAGTCCGTTCCCAGCACAGGCCAGGGGCGGGGAGAGGGTGGGGAGGGGGCATTCCTGGGCTGCCTGGGGGCTGAGTCACCCCCGGCCACCGCGGCCACGCGCACACGCAGAGACACGCCACGGCCACACACGCGCAGCGTGCGCACGGAGCAGAAGGCACGGTGACACACGCGTGTGGCCGGGTACAGGCACACGCAGCGACGGGGAGCGTGCAGATCAACGCGGCGCTGCGTGCACCTGGGGGACACAGGAGAGGGCACACGCGGTGACACACACAGCATGGGACACGCAGAGACACAGCATCCACTCTCAGCGCCCATGTGCACACGGACACGCACACACATGTACGCACGCATATGGATTTGGGGGCGGTGCGGGGCACGTGCCCCTCTCAACCTCCCCACACACAGCGCAGCCGAGGGCTGAGCATCCTCCAGCTGTGACCGGCGCACGTGGGGACCTCCCCCGTTCCTCGGGGGCTCGAGGGGGGGGCCCTGGGAGCCGGTTGCGGGGGCGTGCGGCTGAGCGTCGCCGGGGCTGCGTCACCGTGCTGACGCACCGTCGCTACCTGTGGGTCCCGCTGCTATAAATAGCCCCACGCACGCCCCATCTGCCGCTGGCACAGTGCGTTGTGACACCCCGCTCCGTGCCCCCCGTGCCACCAGGACCCAGGGGCCAGGTGGCCCCATGCCAGCCCCAAAAATCTGAGCAGTGGCCGGAGGGTAGCGTGGCGGTGGTGGCACTGTGCCACCTGGCAGGGCCTGGGCTGGCAGGACCAGCACGGACGTCACGAGAGCTCCTCGAGGTCCTCGTAAACACGGTGACGCACCGGCGATGCCCTCTGGCCCCGTGTCCCCATCAGCCCCACTGCCCGGGGCCACAGTGTGGGGACGAGACCCCCACGGTACAGGCTGTGGGGGTAGGGTCACACAGGGGTTACCCCTCAACCATGCCAGTGTCACCGGGGCCATTTAAGCGCCATCCCCTGTGCATGCAAATGGGGGAGCTAAGCCGTTGCCCCCTCCCAAAACACCTCAGCTGAGAGATCTTTTGGGGGCGTCTCCAAAAGGGGAGGAAAAGGAGATTTGGGGTCTTTGTTGCTGTCAAGGGCAGGCAGCCAGGCTGGGACGAGCAGTGCAACCGGTGCCGGTTCCCAGCGCAGCTCCTGCTGCTGCTCCGGCCCCGCTGCGACCCCGGCCCCGGCGGGCGGGGGTCCGCGGGGATGGGCTGGCACCGCGCCCCGGGCCCGCCGCCCCCGTGATGTCACCGCCCATGCACGCCGGGCTCCACCGGCCGCGGCTGCCGGCCAGGCTGGGGGAACCGGGGAGGCCCCGGGGTTGGCGAGGACCCGGGGGGACCCTCTGCCCCACGATGGGCTGGGAGGGGGCCGGGGTCGGGGCCAGGGCGGGAGGGGTGCCGTGCACACAACAACCACGCGTGTCCGGCTGTGTTCCACGCGTGTGCCCGTGCACTGCACACCGGCCGTGTGTGCATCCCCACGGCCCAGCCCAGGTGTGCTGCAGCCCCTCGGGGTGTTCAGCCCCCCGCGGAGATCCCCAGAGCCCCCAGCAGCCCGGGCACGCCGGGGCTGGCCCCCGCAGCCGGGCTGTGCTGCACACGTGTGCACAATGGCTGCGAGCTCTGCGTGCACACGCGTGTGCAAGGGCCCGTGGACACGTGTGGGGCAGTGGGAGGCTGTGGGGAGCGCCGTGGGGCCGCGGCTGGTGGGCGGGGTGAGACATTCCTCACGGCGCTTGTTATTTTATCTGGTTCAAAGTCAGTTCCTGGAATGTTTTTAATTCCAGGATCCATCCCTCCGCCGGCAGCTCCCGGCCCCCCCCCGCGGCCTCCCCTGCACCCCACACCAGGACTGCCTGCCCACAGCCCGGCCCCACAGCAGCACCGGGGCCTGGGGAGGGGGCTCAGCCTTTCGGGGGCCTCTGTACCCTCGGGGACATCCAGAGGGCACCCATGGGTGCCCCAGTCTTGGCGGGTGCCCCACAGCCGGGTGGTGGGGGGACCGTCTGCAGCCCCACGCGGGGGCCTGGGCTCGCCCCCACCCGGGACCCCGCTGCGGCAGACGCCGTGTTCCCAACCCGTGCCAGGGACACGCGGCAGCACGTCGCCCACCCGGCGTCTGGCACCGCCGCGCCAGCCCCGTCTCTCGCCCGCAGCCAGCGCCGGGTGCAGCCGCAGGGATTCCAGGGGGGCTGTGGGGCTGGGGCTTCCTGATGTACCCCACGCCAGGAGGGAGCTGGAGGCGGCCACGGGGGTCCCACGGCCGTGGGGACGCGGGGTCGGCGCACGAGGCACAGCCACCGCCCTCGGCCGTGGGGTTCACGGGCACACACGGGGTTCACATGCGTGTTTGCGGGCTGAGGGGTGCGGGCAGGCGCTGTGGGGAGACCGGGTGGGTTTTTGGGGTGCAGGGCTCAGCGGGTGGGTGTGCAAGGGCTGGGCGTGCAAGGCTTGACGTGCAACCCCACGCATGCCTGTGCCGGGGTGTGCCCGGCACCGCGGGGCCGCGGCACGGCCGGCACCGTGGGTGTGTGCAGAGCCCACGGGCGTGCCGGGAGCCCTGGGAGCCACGGCGGCTGTGGGTGTTTCCTGGCACACCCTCTGCGGCAAGGGCTGGGCAGAGGGACAAGGGGGGCACCCGGTCCAGCTGTCCCCACCCACTGGCTGTGGGTGCATGGACACACCTGCCAGGTGACACCCACGCTGCCCCCACAGCGGGCACCACACCGCAGGCACAACGCTGGTGCTGTGGATTGCTCCATACTGGGAGCACTGGGATGAGAACAGCCTGGCAGCAGTGCTGGCTGCTGGGCAGGGCTGGGGGCACTGGGGAGAGGAGCCAGGGTGGGGTGCAGGGGGTGTGAACCATGCCAACACCTGGGCTGGGCAGTGAGGGCTCTGCCCAGCCTCGCCCACCGCCAGCGACCCCCTGTTATCAGCAGCATCTGGGGGCCCTGGGCGCGGTGATGTCACCCTGTGGCGTGGCACACTGCAGCGCCCTGTGCCCTGGCATGTCCCTCTGTGCCACAGACACCTCCTGCGGGTGCCTGGTCCGTCCCGTGCCATGAAGCCGTGCCATGGCTTCGGGGCCAGGCCTGTCCCAGCTCACACCCTGCAGCACCCCCGCTCCCCCAAACCCTGAGCTGAGCCCCTGGGAGGCCGCAGCTGTTGGGACCTCCCAAGGATGGACTGGGGGCTCCCAGGGGAGCGCCCACAGCGGGGCTGTTTGCGTGTCCCCGCCGTGCACGGCCGCTGGCGCTTGTCCCCGTGTGCACACGCGTGTGTGTGTCCCCCGCATGCCCTCCCGGCAGCCATTGCCTTACAAGGCCGCCGTGTTGCTCCTGCCGCGGTCGGCGGCTCTTCCCGTTGCCAAATTTGGCACGGGCTGGGGGTGAAGGGGGGGAGCAGGGGCTGTAGGGGGGGGAGCCCGAGGTCTGCTCTACCCGAAATGACGTCAAAGCGGGGCGCAGGGTGCCCGCTGCGGCACAAGTCACCGCAGGAACCTGAGCTGCTTCCGCTCCCTCCCGGCTTCCTCCGGTGCTCGGCTGCTCCTGGGAGTTCAGGGTCCGGCCAAGCCCCCCCCAGCCCACACTGGGCCCCCCGGGGGTTCCCCATGGGAAGGAGCCACTCGCTTCCCATCCTGTCTGTGAGGTGCTGAGGGCCCCATGGAGCTCTGGATTGTTCTCTGTCACCAACACCGGGGTGTGGGGACAAGGCTGGGACATGGCGGAGGGGACATGGGCAGCCACTGCTGCCCCCTCCCCACAAAACAGCTCCACAGCTCAGTGCCCAGTCAGGATTCACCCCGCCCCAGGTGTCACCTGGAGGTGACAGTGTCACCGTGTCAGTGTCACAGGACAGCTCTGGGGGTGTCCCAGCCCACAGTGTCCCCCCACAGCAACCGACACCCCCAGCCCCCCTGGCCTCCAGCTTCCTCCCAGGGATGCTGGGGGCTGCAGGAAGAGGGTAGCATGGGTGAGATGGTGCTGACACACATCCCCAGGGCCACCCCACCCCATCACCTTCCCCGGGGCAAGTTCAGGTGGGGAAACTGAGGCACGGCCACATTCATGGCCACCAACCCCCCGCCCCAGCCCGCAGCCACCCCGCCGTGACGCAGGAGGGAGGGAGGGAGCTGGCAGGGAGCTGGCACTCACGGCCAGCCCGGCTGGTGCAACCGGCCCAGCTCCTCGGGGCAGTGGCCAGTGGGACGAGACTGGGAGCACCGAGTCGGATGAGCACCCACAGGTTGGGGTCTGGCACCCAGAGAGTGCTGAAAACACCTCAAGGAGACCCCAGACCTGTTCCCGTGCCAGGGAGGATGGGCCATGACTCCCCTCCTTCCTCCTCTCCTGTCTCCCCACACCGACACCAGACACAATTGCATCCAGACTGCCCAAATTTATTTCAAAAATAAAAAATAAAATATTAAAGACCGAAAAAGCCTTGCTCTTCCCCCCCCGCCCCCCTTTTCCCCAAAACACACACACAAAAAAAAAAAAAAAAAAAAAAAAAGACTTTTACAGACAAAAAACACATCACGTGGGGGCTCTATTTGCACAGATCCTGACGGAAAAAAATCCAAGTCGGACGAGAAAAAGGATCCTACGGCCTATGAAGACTATGTCAGTATTGGCTCAGTCGGGTCATTAATGTCTATAAATACCGGCCCTGCAGCCGGGACCGAGTTTGGGGTTATTTATTCAGGGGTTTTTTTCTTTTTTTTTCTTCTTTTTTTTTTTTTTTTTTTTAAGTTAAAAAAGAAAAAAATCCAACCACCCAAGCGGTGGGTGGGAAGGAGTCCAGGGACTCGGAAGTTGGGCTCGGCCGCGGAGGGAAGGCGCCTTGGCTTCTCCCTCCCCAAACAAAATTAACACCCCCCCAAAAAAACAAAGCCCCCCACCCCCGTCCCCCCTCCCCAGGCTGCAGCGGTGGGGCCCAGGCACACATGTCCCCCCGGGGGGGCCCAGCCCCACAGCCGAGCAATGCTACATATAGAAGGGAAGGAAAACAAACGGCCCCCAAATCGGGGGGGGCTCCAGCACCTCCGAGAGAGACTTCATCTCCTCCTGCCTGCACCGGGGTGGGGTGGCACAAGGTGGGGCCGGAGCTGTGCCCCTCTTCACAGCAAAGCAGCAGCTTCGATACACCCCAGGGCCCCCCCCCGGGTGCCAGGACCCCCCAGCTGGGGAGGCTGCGAGGAGGGGGCGGCTCCTGCTGCTCTTCCCCATCGCCCCAAACCCAACCGAGCAGGGGGATGGGGGGCTCCCCCTGACACGCAGGTCGGCCCAACGCGTCCGGTGGCGGGAGACGGCAAATCTCGAGGAGCCCCGGCCCGCGACGCCAGCGCTGCCTCCCCAGAGCGGGGCCAGCCAGTGGGACCCCCCGGCACAGTCCCCCGGGGCCCTGGCTCTCTATGCTACGACAAACTCGGATTTCATCTCGGCCTTGACCTCCGGCTTCCAGACCGAGTCCTCGAAGTCCAGGTCCAGGCTGCCCTCGCTGGAGACGCTGCTGTTGCTGTTGGTGCGCCCGGCCTTGCGGTTGGGCACCCAGTGGTACGGAGCCCTGGCGTCCCGCCGCGCCTTCCGCCGCAGCCGCTTCTGCTGCAGCAGCAGCTGCAGCCGCTCCACCTTGCAGCGCGTCGCCCGGTTCTCCGTCTGCCGCAGCCGGTCCCCTGCAAGGGGAAAAGGGGAGAGGGGGTCACGGGGGGCTGCCGTGGGGGGGACACGGCAGCCCCCGGTGGCACGGAGATGGGGACATCCCTGTAACGGGCAGGGGGTTCCCTGTAATGGAGAAGGATGGGTCATGGTGGGGTTCTCCCTGATCCATGCATGGCTGGGGGGGTCACAGCCCAGCAGGTAGCCCCCAATGGCACACGGACGCCCCTAGAGCAGGGGTCCTTCAGAAGGAAAAGGGTGAGGTGGTTACCAGAGGGTGGCCTAACCTACATTCGTGGCCTAACCTACATTTGGGGGGCACAGACCCTTGGCTATCCCAAAAACAGGGTGCCTACCACAGCACCAAGCTGATCCCCAGAGGCCTACAGCCCTTTTTTGGGGTGCAGGATTCCCACCACAACACCGCCTCTATCCTCCTGGATGGATGGGGAGGGTGCCTGGCCCAGAGCAGAGCTGGGGACGGCCCTGGAAGACCCGGTCACACCAGCAGGGGATGGAGCCAGCATGGAGCCACCCCCTGTGGGGACATGGACCACCCCTGGCTAGGAGGGAAGGAAGAACAAACCCTGAGGGGGCTGAGCCAGCACTGGTGGTTTCACTTCTTTCCTCTAAGCAAATCACAGGGGGTCTGGTACGGGTGCCTGCGACACCTTCCGGCCCCAGGGCTCACAGGTGTGCACCCAAAAATGCTGGGAGAGCCTCTGCCATGCTCCAGCCAGGCCCACCTTCACCCCCAGTCTGAGGAGATGGGTTTGGAAAGACAGAGCCGGAATCTATGTGACCCCAAAACCTCTGCCCACACAGCTGAGCTCCAGGCGCAGCACGGACACTGCAGCCACCTGCCACTCCCCCGCACCCCCACCCACACAGGGACACTTTGTCCCCACAGGGTTTGGCAGAGATGACAATGCAGGGTGGGTGGGGGGACCTCCCTGAGTCCCCAGGGGTGCTGATTGTCCCTGAACATGCGACCTTCCCGACTGACACCTGTCAATCATCCAGTTCCCAATCCCTCTCTGATCATCCCAGCCACGGACCAGGGACCCCCAAGAGGCACCAACCTCAAACCCCAACCCCTCTCCACTCGGGGGCAGCCGGACTCACCACTGGGCTTGCACATCCGGATCTGGCTTTGGCACTGGACGACGGGGTGCAGGGTGGGGGCGGCGGCCGCCGGCAGCGGCTCTGAGGTAGTTTTGGTGGCGAGGTCTGGAGAGGCAGGCGGCGAGGAGGAGGAAGAAGAGGAGGAGGAGGAGAACTGCGTCTGGCAGCGGAGCTGTGTCAGGGACTGGGGCATGCCCTGGTAGTGTCTCGTGGCGCTGAGGAGGTCGTTGAGGATCTGCAGGATGGTGCCGATGTCCCGCCGCGGCCGCCCGCTGCTGTCCTGGCAGTTGGGGTGCAAAGTGCCTGGAGGCGGGGAAGAGGTGGGTGTGAGACAAGCAGCCCCCCCAGATCCACAGCTCCATTGGCCCCAACATCCCCCCAGAGCCCCCCAGCAGTTCAGCAGGGCGTACCGGAGAAGGTCCCTGAGAAGACCCCAGGCGCGTGGTTGACAAAGCTCTCGATGACCGCCCCGGGCTTGCGGGATCGGGCCGAGGGGGCCGGACTGCTGCCCGGGGAGCTGCTGCTGCGGGAGCCACAGTCCACCTGCGAGGGGAGAAACGTGCCATCAGCCTCGGGGCAGGGGTCTGGTGGGGCACACAAGCCTGCTCCTGACCTTCTGCCACCCCGCAAAAAGCCAGGTCAGGAGAGCCCAGACAGGGAGGTGCAGCAGGCACCGGTCCCAGTTCTCCCGGCGTGCAAGGAACCCCGGGGGTCCCAACAGGGCCCCCACCCTGCTGTGCTGTGCGAGGGGGAAAGGGAAGCAACAGCAGCAGCTCCTGTCCACCCATGGGGACAGGCAAGGTGTGAGGACAAGCAGGGTAAGAGCTTGGGTTACACCCTGTCCTTGAGCCCCTCCCTGGGACCTGGGGACATTCTGGAGACCAGACTGGGAACAACCCATTTCCACACATGAGGAAACCGAGGAAGGGCCAGGCACGACCTGGGAAAGTCACAGCTTCACCCCCCATTCCCAAAGGCCCCAGGACACCCCCAGACTCACCTCTGAGCAGGAGGAGACCACGCTGCTGTTCACCGTCTGCGTGCTGGCCCCGTGTGACCGGAACATGCCGGCGGTGACGGGAGCGGCGTGAGGGGCGTTACAGTACATGGGGGGGGCCGGCGCAGAGGGCGTGGGGCTGGGGGCCGGGCTCTGCTGGCACGAGGGCACCACGGGGATGCGGGCGAAGCCTGAGCCGCTGGCACCGTGCAGCGTCCGGCAGTGGGGGCTGGCGCTGGCCCCCGCCTCGCCGCGGCTGGCGATGAGGTGTCGGTGCTGGAGCTGTCCAGTGCTCTGCTGGGCCGCCAGCTGCAGCTGCACGAACATCATGTGGTCACCCACACGCAGGGCCAGGGTCAGCGGGGACCGGCCCGACAAGAAGTCGTTGACCTGGGGGAGAGAGAGAAGGGATCTCATCAGCCGTGGCACCAGCAGTGGGGTGATGGTCGTCCCCTGGTGCTGAGCAGGGGATGGCAGATGTCCCTACAGGTTTCTCTTGGCCATAGGGATGGGTCACTGGGGCAAAGAAGGGGTGACCCCCTCCTGCAGCCCTTCACCCATGCCAGGCTGGCAGACGAGCCCAGCTGCCGTCCCCGCGCGACCCCAGCCCAGTGCCAGCTCCGTCAGCTGATGGTGCCAGGGGGTATTTTTCTTCCTTCTGCCCTTCCTGCCCTTTATTCCCCACCACTGAGTGGCCGTGCCTGCCTGCCCGCCCTCCCCGGCGCTGATCCCGGCGGGCAGGGACGGGCAGGGACTGCCCAGAGCCACACGCTCGGCCGAGGGCCAGCGCTGCTGCTCCGGCCAGCGGGAGGGGTGTCCCCCCTCCCCAGCTCCAGGGGATGCCCCTGCTGGCACAGGGAGAAGAGGAGGGGGCAGGTGAGGACATGCCGGGTCCCTGCGTGCCCACCATTGTGACTCAGTTGGCGCAGCCCACCTGCCCTCCTCCCCCCCTCAAGGCAGCTGGGGGTGGGGGCCAGGCCCTGCCCAGCCCGGAGGCTCCAGCTCCGGCAGGTGATGGAGCAGCTGCAGCGTGGAGACAAGAGGCAGGGCCTGACCCTCCCCAGGCTGCAGCTGTGGGGGGCCCCCCAATGCCCAACACCTGCCACCCCCCAGCTCACACCCCTCAGCCTCCCCCCAGTCGCATAAATCACTTGGCAGCTGTGCCAGGCAACAGGGGAGCCCCCCAAGCACTGCCCCACGTTCTAGGGGGGGTTGGGACAGCCATGAGCCACCGTGAGCCCCCCCTTGCCCTCACGTGTGCTGCAGGGGGGCTGTGCCTCTCGCTCTTGCCAGCCCAGACGGGTTAATGGGGACAACACCCCCCCTTCCACCCTACACCCCCCCACACTATTCCAGGGCACGCAGCTTTCCCAGCCTATCATGTGCAGCTCCTGATATCACCCACCCACATCCCATGGCACCTTTGGGGTGCAGCCAGCGAGGGGTCCCCAGTGGGGGCCCAGCAATCCCCTGTCCCCAGCACTGCAGAGCAGGGCCCCCCCGGGCCCCCCCAGCCCCGGCCCCGCTCCCCCACGCCCCGCTGCCGCGGAGGCCGGTTCTGAGAAGCCGTGGGAAAAGCAGCTTTAAAAATACCAGCAGCAAAGCCCCGAGCGTGTCAGGCGGAGGCTGCAGAGGAAGGGGTGGGCGGGAAGGAGACGCTGCAGCTCTGGACACGGAGGTTACGGGGCAAAGGGGCGGGAGGGGACGGCGGGTGTGCACACGGGCACACGTGTGCACACGCGTGTGCGTGCACAGAGCACCTGGATGTGGGAAAGCATCGCCCCAGCCCCCGTCCTGCCTCAGTTTCCCTTCCCATAGCAGCCTGGATGGCCTAACGCCAGGCTGGCATCCCCATCCTCACTGCTTGGCCCCATCCCAGATCTGGTCCCTGCATGGAGTCCCCCCACGGCTGCTGGGCCAACCCAGCCCTGCTGCTGCTCTCTGAGCCACTGTAGGGGGTACATTTCACACACCCCAACACCAGGTCCAAGCATCGTTCACCAAAGTGTGGGAAGGGGTCCCAGCTGGCTCCTGCTCCCACTGGGCTCTTTCACAGCCCCATCCCAGCCCCTGCCACCCTCCCCAGGCTGGGCTCTGCACCCAGGTGTGCCCGGGGGAGCCCCGTGCACCTCCCCGGGGCCCCTTGACGTCAGCCGGCCCCGCGGCCGCCTCCCGCTCCCTCTGACTCACCCCTGCCCTGCCTGACCCCTCGCCAGCGCCGGGAGAAACCAGAGCACCCCAACCCAGCCAGGCCCGCGCTGCCGACGCTTCCCAGCAGCACCAAGAACGCCCCTCCATCCCCACGCTCGGGGGTCCCACGGCGTCCCCCCCCCCCGCTGCACCCCCGGGGCTGAGCCCTGGCGCGGAGCCGGCCCCGGTCCCCGCGGCGCCCCAGCCCCGGGGCTCCCAGCACCCGCCCCCACGCCGCTGCCAACCTCCCCCCCCGGCGAAACCAGCCCGCTCCAATGCAAACACGTCCCACCCAGCCGCCCGCTCGGCCGCCCACGCCGGGAGGACCCCGTCCCTCCCAGCCGGCTCCGCCGCGGGGGCCGGGACAGCCTCGCCGAGGGGGCTGGAGCCGCTGAGCCCCCCCAAAGTCCCGCACTTAGGGGTCCCCTGGGACTCTGCCAAGCCCTGAGGGGCTCAGCTGCACTGTACCGGGCTCGGGGCCCGCAGGGATGGGGCAAGTGTCTCCCAGCTGCTTCTCAGAAACGCCGATGACTCAGAGAACGCCGCATTCCCGCCTCGCTCCGACGCCTGGCCCCGCGTCACCCCGGCCCCCAGCACCACGCAGCCCCGGGCCCCCAACTCTGGGCTGGCAGAGAGGGGGAGCTGCCCCCAAGGAGCCCCTGCCCGGATGGGGAGGGCAGCACCCCCAAACAGGCACAGGGAAACCATCCTAGGAGATCCAGATGGCAAAGGCAAGGCCAGGGCGAGGATGAGGAGGGGGAGCAGGAAATGCCCCCCCAAGCCCCTGCAGGGTCTCCAGCTGGGCACAGCTGGGGCCCCCCATCCAGCCAGCTGTGCTGGTGCCCAGGGGTTTGTCTGTGCCAAGGTGGGGGGCAAAGGGACAGAGCTCCCTGGCCACGTTCCCCCAGCCCTGGAAGAGCAGGATGTGTCATCCCCTTCCTCTGTTCCTCCTCCTCAGCACTCCTGGGCAGAGGGATGGGGGAAGGAAGAGCCGGCAGTGGGACCTGCCATCCCTGGAAAGCGGGGGCAGCCGTGTGGGGAGGAAGGAAGTGCAAGAGCATTTCCAGGAAGCCCCCGTGCCCGGCAGTCACTTCCCCACAGGCTGGGGAGGGGGTGGCAGCGCCCCGGCCCCCCCTTACCACCCCCAGAGGAAGCGGCTCAGCTCTCCCCGTGCTCCGGAGGCTGCGTGACGCAGGCAGAGCCCAGCAAAGCATGAATGGGAGGAGTGGTTTCCTGCCCCCCCCGCCGCCCCCCAGGTGCTGGCGGTTCCTCCTGCTCAGCCCTGGCTTCCTGAATCACCAACCGGAGGAACCTGCGGTGGGCAGGGAGGTGCGGAGCCGCTTCCCGCAGCCGCTGCCAGACCGTAGCCCACCCACCCACCCACCTACCCTCCTTCGCTCACTGTGCTTGGGCTGGGGGGCACCCTGAGCTGCACAGGCTCCTGGCTCCCCAGTCCACCCCACCTCGCTGCCCCACAGCAGAGCAGAGCTGTGCAGTGCCATCAGAAATATCTGCAGCCCTGAGGCCAGGAGGAGCACTGTGACCTGCCAGAACCAGCCCCCTCTGGCAGCTCTGCAGCCCAGCTGGGATGGGCAGCACCTTGCAACCCCCCCGTGGGACCCCAGCAGCGTCTGGCACTGGGGATCCACTAGGGCTCCAGTCCAAGCTTACCCCCCCCCAGCCTCCACATGGGGTTAAACCAGCTCTCAAAAGTCAAGGTCACCCGGGCAGCCAAGGGCACTGCGGGTCCCTGCAGGCAGGGCAGCCTGGCCCTTGCCACATCCCCACGGGGGGGGCACAGCAGCGCCCCAGCAGCCCCTTCTCTGAGCCCTGGCACCACATGGGGCTCAGCCCCTTCCCAGAATTCAGCAAGGCAGGTTATAAAAACGCTCCAAAACCCAACCCTTCAAAAAACCAAAGCTGCAGCACGGGCCAGAAAAAGGAAGGAAAGAGTTTCACAGCAGTAACAGAGACGGAAAACAAAGGAGCGGGGCCTGCACGGCTGGGGGTAAATTCCACCTTCGCGGCAGGAGCTGGCGGCTGCGCACGCACCCACGGCTCACCCACGGCTCTCCCACCCTGGGAACGCTTCCTCCCCACAGCTGAGACCCCCCAGCAGCGAGGACCCCCCATCCCACAACTCCACAGCAATTCAACCGCGGCCCCACCACCGCCGCCCACTTGGCCCCTTCGCGCCCCAGCACAAGGCCACCGAGCAAGGGACGAGGAGGGGGTCAGAACGCCCCAGCACGGCCAATCTGCACCCCCAAGGACGGCTCCAAGGAAAGCAGGAACACCCCTTTGGGTGCTGGGGGGGAAGCCAGGCTCTGCAGCCCCAGCGTGGTCCTGCCAGCCTCCTTTACATCCATCACAGCTGTGGGGCAGATGGCAGCCCATCCTTGCACCCCAGGGTGGGCAGCTGGGGGGGGTTACAGCCCCACACCCCCGGGCAGGGCCCTGAGCCACCCGGCTCTGCCTCCAACCCGAGGCGTGACCTTGGGTGAGTCACTTCACCTCCCCGGCTCCCGGCTTGTTTGGGCTGCCGGCGTGGGACCTCCCCGAGCCCGGCGCTGCTCTGGGTGACGGTGCCCGCCCCGGGCACCACCCTCAGCACTCCCAGCCCTGCTGGAGGTGAAACCTCAGCGAGGCACCAACGCCAAAGCTTTTGGGAGGGGAAGCAAAGCGAGGCCGCAGCTGTCCTTCCTCCCCCCCCCCCACCCTCTGCCTTTGTCTCCATCCTGCCCCGGCATCCAGCCCCTCACCTGAGTTTCAGTTAAGCTTTCCAGAGCTTGCATCACCGACTGTTCTGGCCTGGACGCCTGGGACTGGAAAAAAAAGGAGGAGGGGGGGGGATTAACGTTACAAATGCAGCAAAGGAGGGGGCGTCCGCAGCAGGAGGGAGGGATGACATGTCACTTCCACTATTTCTACACAAGCCCTGAGAAAGGAGTGAAATACTAAACCTGCTGCCGTGCCCAACCCAGCGCTGCCTCCTCAGCAAGAGCTGGGGCAGCAGAGCCGCGGGGCTGCCAGCACATCACATCCTCATCCTTGCCCGGGGCTTTAATAATAGACAGGGACGAGTGGGAGGGATGGAGGGAGCAGCAGGAAAAGGCCACTCACCATCAAGCCGGCCTCCACGGTGGGCACCAGTGTCAGCTTGCTGCCTTCCACGACCCCCAGGTCCTGCAGTTTGCCAGAGCTGAGGCGGCTGTGGGAGGAGATGCCAAAAGCAGGGTCAGTGCAGGTCGGGCAGCTCCCCCAGAGGGTACACACGAGAGGGGGACACCAGCTGCAAGTCTGGCTGCTCCCAGGGGACCAACAGCCCCCCAAGCATCCCTACCTCAAGAAATTCCCAGCCTTCACAGGCAGGAGGGAACCCTGGCACCCCACCACTCTGCTCTCCCCTGCGGGAGCTCACGGTGTGGGGCACCCCTGCCCTGGGCACGGGGCAGTGCTGAGGGGGCCAGAGAGGAGCTGAGCTGCCGGGAGGGGGGTGGGAGCACAGGGTTCGTGGCACAGGAAACCTGCCCACTGGGGGGGCGGTTAGAGAGAAGTTGGGACCAGCGTAGGTGGGGGAGGCAGCACTGGGAACATGCTCCCTCAACCCCGCGGCTGCCGGCAGATGGATGTGGTGTCCCCGTGTGTCCCCCCCCTCCCGCTTCCTCCCTGATCCGGGAAAGACTCTCCAAGTTACTCCCGGCCCGACCCCACGCGGGCCCCGCTCCACGCGGGGGGTGCGCAGCCCCTCGGCCCGGGCCCCCGGCAGACAAAGGCCCCCCCGCCGCCCCCGGCGCTGGGGGCTCGGGGGGTGGGGGGGGCCGGGCCGCGCCGCCGCCGGGGCTGAGCCCAGAACAAAGGGCCGGGGCACGGCCGGGCCCCGCCGCCCACAAAGGACCCCCCCCCGCCCCGCACAGGAATGGGGCCGGGAAGGGGGAGGGGGCGGGAGCCTTTGTGCGGTGCCGAGCCCGGTGCGAGGGGGCCGCCCCCGCGCCCAGCCCCGCTGTCGAGGGCTGGGGACCCCGGGCCTCCTGAGCCGCGCCGAGCCCCCCCGTACCGAGCCGTGCCGTACCTCTCTTTGTGCAGCAGCGCCAGACGCTCCTTGGGCACCTTGAGGCGCTGGGACAGCCGTCGCTTCAGCCCCTCCACCGTCTCCTCGGCGGGCACCGAGAGCTCATAGCGGGTGCCGGTGGTGGTGTGGATGTAGAGGTTCATGGGGGGTTCGGGTGGCCCCACCTCGCAGGCGGGAGCCCCGCGGCTGCAGCTCCTGGCGCCGGGCTGCGGGTCCATCCGCCGACCTGCGGGGGCAGCGGCGCTCGGTGTCGGGGGGCGGCGGGGGGATCGGACAAAGGAGGGAGCCGGGCCCGCTCCGCCACACGCCCGGCGGGACCCACGGGAGCTCCGGCTACGCGCTGAGGCCTCGGGCGGGGGCCGGGAGGAGGCGGGGGAGCGGCTAGGAGGGGGGTCCCCAAGCAGGGCTGCACCGGCCGTGCCCTCCGCAGCTCAGGCGGAGAAAATAAAAAAAATATATGTATATAAAAAAATAAAAAAAAATAGAAAATCTCCCGTTCTCGCCCCGCTCCGGCGGCTGCCGCGGGAAGGGGGGGTGGTGGAAGCGGCGCTGCCTGCTCCTGCCTGCCGCCTCCTTTCTTTCTCCTCGCCGCCGCTCTGTGCTCTCGGTGCGGGGTATCTGGGGGCGGGGTGAGGCCCGAGGCCGCGGCGAGGGGCGGGGAGGCCGCCTCGCTCCCCCTTCTCTGGGGCCGGACCCGCCGAACCGGCCGCCGCTCGCGCTGCCGTGGGAGCACCGGGGGGGGAGGGAAGTTACAATGTAGCAACGTCCCGCGGGCGGGGCCTCGCCCTCATTCACTCCGGCTCCTCCGGCGGCCGCGGCCAATGGGAGCTCGCCGAGCGCCCAGACATCCGCGCTGGCGGCCAATGGGAGGCGGGCGCAGCTTCCCCACGTGGCCCGGTGGGCGGGGCGGTCCGGCCGGATTCCTCCCGCCCACGCGGCCGCGGAGGCCCCGCCCCGGCCCCGCCCCCCGCGCGCCCTCGCGCCGCGCCTGGAGCCATTCATAATCCCGGCGCACAACAAAGGGGCGCGGGGGGTTCGGGGGTCCCGCGGTGCCGGGCCGCCCCTCGCCCGGGAGCTGGTGGGCTTGGCGTGCGAGGCCCGGGCGCCACGGAGGGGTGGACGCGGGACACAAGCAGGCGCCGGCCCGGAGCGCCGCGGCGGGGGCGGCGAGCGGCCCCCGCACCGGAGGAGGCCGCGGCGGGAGGTGACTGCCCGCGGGGCCGGGCGGGAGCTGGAGCCCCCGGAGCCGAGTGACGCCGGGACACAGAGGCGGAAAGGGCGGGGGTGGGGGGGGACACGCACAGTCACCCGCGGCCGGTCACACCCGCCCGGTCGCACGTACCCGCCCGGTCACCCTCCCGGTGACGCCGTTACAGCTACGGGGAACTGTCCCGGTGAGGGGTTGAGCCCCCTGTACCCCCCGGCACGCTCTTACCCCCCTCCCCCCCTAGTCCCGCAGCTAGAACCTCCACCCCAGAGGCCCCAGCCCCGCCTGCCGGCTCCCGAGGAGTGGAACGGACACCCGGCAGCCCCGGGGCCCCGTCCCGGCACCCGAACCGGGGGGGGGGCTATGAGTCAGCAAAGCGCGGGCGCCCTCTGCCGGCCCCGCTGCGCCTCCTGAGCCCGGGGGGGCCGCGGGGGCCGCACCGGCGGCGCGCCGGGAGCCCTTATCGAGACATCGGGTGGCCCTCACCGAACGACCGGGCCCGGCCGCGGTGCGCCCCGGAGCCGCTGCTCGCCCACCGGGATGGAGAGCCCCTGCCCGAGGAGACCTCCCCCCCAGCAACCCCAAAGCCGGGTCGTGGGAGCGAGGAGCCGCTTCCCGGGACGCGGCGGGGGCACCGGGGTTCCGACAGCTGGAGCGAGAAGAACCGATCCCGCTGCCGTTCCCCGGAGGCGGCCAAAGCTCCAGGTGACCGAGGACACGGAGGGTCTCTGAGGGTGAGCAGAGCTCCCGAACAACCGGAGAGGGGCTCTGCCGTGCGTCCCCTCGGGAGCCCCGGGGAAGTGGGGCCACCCCTCCCGCTCCGGGGAAAGCAACCGAGAGATCGCGGTCCCGGTTCGGGATCCCCTCCGCAGCCCGACCCGGGCCCCCAGCAGCCCGGCGCGGCTCTACTCACCGAGCACGGCCCCGCGGATCCCGGCGCGGCGGGAGCTCAGCTGCCTCCGG